CTAATTTGATATGATTTTCTGTTAATTTGCAGGTGGCCATGGCCTTGAAAACACCCGGGGAGACAAAGTACGAATCTTCAGGGCAGAGAGGTCGTACGCTGTTACTCAGGGAAAGTGGTATTTTGAGTTTGAAGCTGTCACCACTGGAGAAATGAGAGTCGGCTGGGCTCGTCCTAATGTCCGCTCTGACACTGAGCTGGGAGCAGATGAACTTGCCTATGTATTCAACGGCAATAAGGTCAGTTATAGCTTTATATAGTCTCAATCAATCAATAGACCCATTAAAATGCTATGTCAGTGGTTCTCAAACTTTTCACTTCAAGTACCACCTAAAAAAAGAGTTGTCTTTCCAAGTACAAGTTCTAAGCCAAGTCTATAACAGGACTATTTCAGGTCTAAATTAGGGATAACCCATAATAGGGCTGTGCCATTGCCACGGTGGTTATTAAAAGGCTTGTTATAATGGTGTTTTCTTATCAAAAATATACCTGGAGTGTTTTGTTTCATTCACACATGTTTAACATACACATCCTACGTATTTAGACTGAGTTTTTCTATCAAACTGAAAACACACTTTTACACCTTATGATGTCATGTGGTAATACAGGAAGTGCTTCTTTAAACTCCATACAGAGCATTTTGCGAATTGGAGATATAGAGAGAATAATAATAATGATTTGCTCAAACATGGGTGAATGAAACAAAACACAACTCTGGGTATGATTTTGATGAGGTCAAAAACATTCTAACATGAGTTAAAGCTTGAATGTATTTGCTTACAAACTTTTAGAGGGTCTATTCATGACTTTCATTTGGAGGACATTTTCCCAGGCAATAATTTAGTTTAATATTTATTTTTAAATTGTTAACACTATGGCAACGGTCTAATGTCCTATCTTATCTTATTCTGAAATTCATAGATAGGCTTGTCTAATGTTTGACAAAGCTATTTTCCGTTTAGGCTCAAAGATGGCATATAGGCAATGAACCTTTTGGCCGGCAGTGGCAGTCTGGTGATGTGGTTGGCTGCATGATCGATCTTACTGAGATGAATATCATGTTCACTCTCAATGGAGAAATGTTAATAAGTGATTCAGGCTCGGAAATGGCATTCAAAGACATTGAAATTGGGGATGGTAGGCTATTCCTTCTCATTTCCTCTGTATTACAAAAAAGTGTTGTAATGTGCTCAATATATTTACATCTGTTTTCTCTTTAGGTTTTATCCCAGTTTGTGCATTGGGCCTTTCACAAGTTGGAAGAATCAATCTCGGCCAGAACGTGAGCAGTTTGCGCTACTTTGCCATTTGTGGCTTGCAGGAAGGATTTGAACCTTTTGCTATAAATATGAAGCGCGATACAACCATGTGGTTCAGTAAAAGTTTGCCTCAGTTTGTTCCAGTTCCCACAGATCACAACCACATGGAGGTGAGATTTACATAGACATAAAATTGAATTGTCTGATACATTGGATAATGCTTATCTTTTAACCTCCAGGTATCTCATGTGGATGGGACAGTGGATAGCGCCCCCTGTTTGAAAGTTACTCACAAAACATATGGCTCTCAGAATGCCAATACAGACATGCTCTTCCTTCGTTTAAGCATGCCAGTCCAGTTTCATGAAACTTTCAAGATACCAGCCGGCACCACTCTACTTACCAGGGCCCTCACCATACCCGAGGAGGAGGTGGTGGTTGTGGAGCCTGACTCAGAGTTTGAAGTTTTGAAGAAATCTGCCAGTAAAAAAGAACAAGAAGAGGAGAAAAAAGAGCCTTCAGTACCAAAGGAGCTATCTGTAGAAAATGAGAAGGATACTGTTTCTGAAAAGGGGAAGAAAAAAGGGTAGGTTTTGTTAATTTACCGAAATGATTAATTCAATACAATATATGACTAATAATATGGCTAAAATAAAAACTTTCTTTTTTAGATTCTTCTCAAAGGCCAAAAAGGCTGCAATGACACCCCTTGCCCCGCCTCCACCTCCAGCAATGCCCCGTTTAGTGGAAGATGTGGTGCCTGATGACAGGGATGATCCAGAGATTATTCTTAATACCACAACTGTATGCATTGTGTTATTAAATTATTATTAAATAATTATTGAACAGTGACCCCAGTATTTAGTTTTTACATCCTTAAAATATATTTTAATTGTTTTGTGTTTTGTTTTCTACAGTACTATTACTCTGTGAGAATCTTTGCTGGGCAGGAGCCTACTGGAGTGTGGATTGGTTGGGTCACTCCTGATTATCATCAATATGATCAAAGTTTTGATCTCTCCAAAGTTCGCAATGTCACTGTCACTGTTGGAGATGACAGGGGCAACATCCACGACAGGTCACTTTGTCCTTTCTATGTTTGTAGAAGAGAATATGAGCTGAATCTCAATGAAATTTTCTCTCTATCCTTTGCAGCATGAAGCATAGTAACTGTTACATGGTTTGGGGTGGGGACCTGGTTAGCACTCAGCAGACCCGATTCAGTCAGGAGGACATGGTGGTTGGGTGTCTTGTTGATTTGGCAACAGGACTCATGACCTTTACTGCAAACGGCAAGGAAATAAATGCTTTTTACCAGGTTGGTAATACAATACAACCTAGTTACTTCATTAAAGTGGCTGTAGTACGCTATTTTCTGATCTATATTATAATGTTGTTTCCTTGTCGAAAACATACCTGGAATTGTGTTTTGTTTCATTTGCACATGTTTAACGCACATCCTGCATATTCACCTTGTGATGTCATATGGCAATACAGGAAGTTCTCCACTCAGTTTTTTTCATACACTTTCACTAGTATCATTTGGACAATTTTAGCCCAAGAACTTTCCAATCTCTATTAAACAAAAGGTAAAAGGTAGCTGTTAACTTGAAAATGACAGCTTCATGACATCACAAGGTGGAACAGAGCAATTTGAGCTTTAGAGATGTAGACAGACTGATACTCAAACATGTGAATGAAAGCAACCACAACTCTAGGTATGTTTTGGAGGAGGCCACAACATTCTAATATGGCTAAAAGTTCACAAGAGTAAATTACAGTAAAATCTGCTTTACAATAAACATCCTTAAAAATTTAAAACTGACGTGATTTTATCCAAGGTTGAACCAAACACCAAGCTGTTCCCTGCCGTATTTGTTCAACCCTCCAGTCAGAACATGGTGCAGCTTGAACTGGGCAAACTGAAGGTGAGGAAATATTAAATAGTTGTGATGTTGTCAATGAAAACTTTTTTATATTTATTTCCTGTGTCTTTTCTTCAGAACATTATGCCCATCTCAGCAGCCATGTTTCGCAGCGAGCGCAATAACCCAGTCCCGCAGTGCCCTCCCAGGCTAGATGTCCAGATGCTCACCCCAGTCATATGGAGCCGCATGCCCAACCACTTCCTCAACCCAGAAGTGGGCAAAGTAAGTGAGAGACTGGGCTGGATGGTGGAGTGTACAGAACCACTCACCATGATGGCACTGCACATTCCTGAAGAAAACAGGTAACAGGCTGTGATTACGGTGTTATTGCACAGTTAGAGCAATGGAGCATAATGTGTGATTTGTTTTAGATGCATTGACATTTTGGAGCTGTCAGAACGCCAAGATCTAATGAAGTTCCACTACCACACCCTGATGCTGTACTGTGCAGTGTGTGCTCTGGGCAACAATAGGGTTGCTCATGCCCTCTGTAGCCATGTTGATGAATCTCAGCTTTTCTATGCCATTGAGAATACTTACCTCCCTGGACCACTACGCAGTGGTTATTTTGACCTGCTTATCAGCATCCACCTGGAATCTGCCAAGCGGGCACGTCTGGGCACCAATAGGGAGTTTATTGTCCCTATGACAGAGGAAACGCTCAGCATTCATCTCTATCCTGATACAAAGAAAGCCCATTCTCTTCCTGGTGTAGGACTCACAACTTGCTTACGACCAAAGCTTCATTTCTCTTCCATCAACTTTGTGGGTACTGACCCTGACCTCTACACTTTAAGTCCAGTCTTTCCTCTACAGGTAGGGGACAAAAACAACAGTCCGTAAGAAATATTGTGTTTGATATATTTTCCCAAATACATAACAATAAATTAAAACCTTTTTGTAGTCATTTTTATTAGCAGCTCTATATGGCATTTACACAGATTCAGAAATGAACTATTAACATTTTGGGCCAACAGGAACTGAAGACCAGGGCAATCAGCATGCTGACAGAGGCTGTGCTGGATGGTAGCCAGGCCATGCGAGATCCAGTAGGGGGCAGTGTGGAGTTCCACTTTGTTCCCATTCTAAAACTGATCAGCACCTTGCTTATTATGGGCATCTTTGATGATGAAGACACAAAGCACATCCTCAAAATGATTGACCCCAATGTCTTCAGTGGAAAAGAGGAGGAGGAAGAAGAGGTAGTGGAGGAGAAAGCAGAAGGAGAAACAGAGGGAGAGGAAAAAGAAGAGGAAGAGGAAGAGGAGGAGCTGGAAGATGAAGGGGTCGGTGATGAAGAGGAGGAAGAGGCAAAAACTGAGGAAAAAATTGCAGTTGAAGGGGAGGAGCCAAAAGAGGAAGGAGAGGCAGAGGGTGAGCCCAAAGGTGACAAAGTGGATGGTGAAAAGGCAGAGGAAGAGAAGGAGGCTGAGGCTGTGGACGCAGAGCCTAAAGACGAAGAGGAGGGTCTGGAGGAAGGACTGCTCCAGATGAAACTCCCGGAGTCTGTAAAACTGCAGGTAAATAATCACTTATTACTGTGGTTTCTTTATATTTTGTCTGATCATAATAAAATAAATTATCTTAAAATGATTCATCTCTTTCTTCACAGATGTGTAAACTTCTCCAGTACTTCTGTGACTGTGAGTTGCGTCACAGGGTGGAAGCCATTGTGGCTTATTCAGACCAGTTTGTTCAAAACATTCAAAGCAATCAGCGAGTGCGCTACAATGCGCTAATGAGAGCATTCACCATGTCGGCAGCTGAGACGGCACGCAAGACTCGGGAGTTCAGATCTCCACCACAAGATCAGGTTATTATTTCAAATGGATTTTTATTGTATTGACACTGCAATGGTACTCACAAGTGATACATTTTACAATTCATTATCATATGTTTTGTGTCCTTCAGGTACTTTTGCTGACCAACTTCAAGCATGAAGATGAAGACTGCCCAGTGCCTGAAGATGTGAAGGAGAGTCTTGCAGACTTCCATAAGGACCTCCTGCTTCACTGTGGTAAATAATCTAATTCCTGTTTTTTATCCAATCCACTCACATTTGTTTCTTTTCTAATGAGTATATTGTTCTTAGATATCCATATTGAGGAGGAGGCTCAAGAGGAGGAGGTGGATACTTCTCTGAGGGGTAGACTGCTTAGTCTCGTTGAAAAGATGAAGAGTTTGCGCAAGAAACAAGAAGAAGAAGTGCCTGAAGTTGAGGAAGAGACAAAATTAAGTAAGATACACGATATGCACACACAACACCTCGTTTAATATAATGCTTGTATCTTTTTAATTCCTTCTACTATTGTTTAACCAAGGCACGCTTCAGGAGCTCATCTCCCACACTATGATCCACTGGGCACAGGAGTCCTATATACAGAATCCTGAGCTGGTGCGTCTTATGTTCAGCCTGCTCCATAGGCAGTATGACGGGCTTGGGGAGTTAATCAGAGCTCTGCCCAAAGCCTATTCAATTAATGCTGTGTCCGTCCAAGACACTATGGACCTGTTGGAGTGTTTGGGACAGATCCGCTCTCTGCTTATTGTACAAATGGGTCCAGAGGAGGAACGACTTATGATTCAAAGCATTGGGTTAGTGAGATCTTTTTCAGTGTCACATTAATGATTTGCTATCTGTAACTACTTATAATCATTTGGAATCATTTGCAGTTGTATTGTACGTTTTCTTTTTTTTACAGCAATATCATGAACAATAAAGTATTCTACCAGCACCCTAACCTGATGAGAGCTCTTGGCATGCATGAAACTGTTATGGAGGTGATGGTCAACGTGCTGGGTGGAGGTGGAGACTCAAAGGTATTTCTTTCTTTGTATTTGATTTTACTAATGAGAGGGTTTATTATTAGTCCTCTTGGTGTATATATATGTAACCTGTACCAAACGAACTAGTAAGATATGAATGATACGTGTACCCAGGAATCTAGGTTCTAAAGGAGGAAAGAAGGTGTAATAAATTTGGACTGTAGGTTGAAATGAGAAAAGTGTACAAAATTTATTGAACAGAATCAATACTCTTCCCCAACTATTACCAGCTTACCCCTACATAAATCAGTCCTTTGTCCAACAATTTGTCCTTTCAGAATAAAAAGTTCAGAGCTCTGAAAAAAAACAATTGTGTTTCATCTACCCGGGTAGTATGAATTTTTGTTTCTTTCTTTCGTTGGTGCACAAGATCTTAGCTTAATTCAGCTGTAATGCAATGAAGGCCAGGTCCACCAAGAAGAGATGTCAAGGCATCCAGCAGGTCCACAGGTCCTGGATCCAATGACTCCAGCCTCACAGCGAACAGTCCCAGGTCAATTCGGGTCAACAAAAAAACCAACCTGCATAAGCAGGGCAACATTAATACAATTTTCGCAAAGCACAAATTCAGATCTGGTTTAAATCATTTCTAACAACTTTTAACTGGATTACAGTAGCTTGTAGGTTTTTTTACACAATGCGCAGTATTCAACACGTGGCACTAGCAGTGCACATGGTAGTGTAACAACCCTTAAAATCTGTATGTAAGTTCTGATTTGTACATAGTTATATATTTCTCCAGTTGGTTTTTTATACATTCTCTGAATCATGTAAATAATAAGTGGTCATTGCATCATGTAGTTAAGTCAAGGTAGAAAACAAAATTAAGCTAGCATATCACCTTAGCACACTCACCGGAGAACAAGTACAGACAAAACTTCCTCTCCAGAACTCTTTACAATTTGTTGTATCTCTAAGAACCAAAAACGAGTTGTTATTTAACAATTTAAGCAATATTTTACCACATTTTTGCACAATAGAGCTTACATATGCTGTCCAGTTTCTTCACAAGATGGTGTGCATTTGCAACAGAACCTACAGCACCGTCTACTGGGCGCATATGACACTGCATAGTTAAATGAAATTTAAAGGAACACACTCCCAATTCAACAAGTAAAACTTGGGTGGGTTACATATACAATATATAATGTTTATTACCTTTGCTTTTTTAATCAGGAAATAAGATTCCCTCAAATGGTGACCAACTGCTGTCGTTTCCTGTGTTACTTTTGCCGCATCAGTCGTCAAAACCAACGCTCTATGTTTGACCATCTGGGATATCTGCTACAGAACAGCGGCATTGGGCTTGGTCTGTATCATGCAATTAAATAGAAAACAATAGCATGCTAATAATAACAACTATTTCTGTTGAATGTTATTTTGGTAGTTTGTTATTTTAGAGTTAGAAGTGGAAATGCCAAGAACAGGCATGTCCAAACTACGGCCCGTGGGCCAAATGCGGCCCTCAGACAAATGTTTTTTGGCCCTCAAGCTTCCAGCTGAATTGGCCCAAATTACCTTACATCATCTAAAAATTAACTAATTAACTTAAAAGTTTTTGGAAAATCTGCCTTTATAAAGTGAATATTTAATATTTAGTGTGTAGTTTTAAGGATCTTAGCATGAGGCATCAGTGTTATTCATGTTATTTGTGTTAAACTTGCACATATTTCAATTATTCACTGTACTGAGCACGAGTCTACGGCCTTCGATCAGCCCTCTGCTTCGTCAATGTTTACATATGTGGCCCTTGATGAAAAAAGTTTGGACCCCCCTGGCCTAGAATGATTCCACTGTTTTCTACAAAAAATACATTATAAGATAATAATAATATAGCCGCAAAAGGAAAATTGAATTCTGGCAACTGCACAAAAGTTTTAAAGAGACAATAACCTTAGTCCAGTTGACAGAATTCAATTTTCTTTTGCAATGAAACCCAGACAACGTAGGGATTACATAGACATAACACTATGTTTTTAAAGGTTAATTATTAACATTATATTATATGTATGTTTAAACATTTGCAGGCATGCGTGGATCAACTCCTCTGGATGTAGCTGCAGCTTCCTGCATTGACAATAATGAACTGGCTTTGGCTCTTCAAGAGCAGGACCTTGAAATGGTATGACCAAACTACACAGAAAAACAGGAAATGAATATGTAGAAGTGGTGCAGTGACTTCTCTGTTGCAGGTTGTGACGTACTTGGCAGGCTGTGGACTGCAGATGTGTCCAATGCTTCTGTCTAAAGGATACCCTGACATCAGCTGGAACCCTGTTGGAGGAGAGAGATACCTTGATTTTCTGCGCTTTGCTGTCTTTGTCAATGGTCTGTGGTATTCTAGACAACTAAAGTTAGATATATATTTGGTGTTTCCTCTGACTCCTTGTCTTTACAGGAGAGAGCGTGGAGGAGAATGCTAATGTTGTTGTGCGTCTTCTCATTCGTCGGCCTGAGTGCTTTGGGCCTGCTCTCAGAGGTGAGGGGGGCAATGGTTTGCTGGCTGCTATGGAGGATGCAATCAAGATCTCCGAAGACCCAGCCAGGGATGGACCAACTGTCAAAAAGGACAGAAGATTCATGTAAGTATAATAATTTTTATATTAGACAATCAATATTACTACTTAAAATGATCATTTAAAACTCTGATCTTGAATTGAAAGGTTTGGTGGGGAGGAGCAGCATGAGGAAAATCGTATACATCTGGGGAATGCCATCATGTCATTCTACTCTGCGCTTATCGATCTGCTTGGCCGTTGTGCCCCTGAGATGCATGTGAGTCATATTGTGCTTTAACTTGTGTGTTAAAAGTTGTATTCATTAAGTATAAATTTGGCCCTGTGAATTTTTAACTTATTATCATCTCTGTTCACTTTCACAGCTGATTCAAGCTGGCAAGGGTGAGGCTCTAAGAATCAGGGCTATCCTGAGGTCTCTGGTGCCCATAGAGGATCTGGTGGGAGTTATTAGCTTGCCTGTGCAAATTCCAGCATTTGGAAAAGGTACAGTATGATCAGTTATTTGGTATTATTTAATATTTTGGTATTCCATTTTTTTTTTGTCAATTTCAGATGGCCAGATTATTGAGCCCAAGATGTCTGCTAGTTTTGTGCCAGACCATAAGGCCTCCATGGTACTGTTCCTTGACCGAGTCTATGGCATTGATAATCAGGACTTCTTGCTACATGTGCTGGAAGTCGGCTTCCTTCCTGACATGAGAGCCTCAGCATCTTTGGATACTGTGAGTTCAAACAACTGTCATCAGACACTGTCTGGTCACTGTGAATGTTTTGTTAGCATAACCCCCCCATCTTTCTGGTTGTAGGTTGCATTCAGCACAACTGAAATGGCCTTGGCACTGAACCGCTACCTCTGCTCCGCTGTGCTGCCTCTGCTTACCAAATGTGCCCCCCTCTTCGCTGGGACAGATCATCGGGCAATCATGATTGACTCAATGCTCCACACTATCTACAGGCTGTCCCGTGGCCGAGCTCTAACCAAGGCTCAGAGAGATGTCATTGAAGAGTGTCTCATGTCTCTCTGCAAGTTAGTCCAAATTTTGTATTTGGTTATATTTTATGATGTGATTAAAATGTTTGCATAAATATTATGTTATATTAAATATTTTCATACTTACTCCACTTTTTAAATGTTCACAGATATCTACGACCATCGATGTTGCAGCATTTACTTAGACGGCTGGTATTTGATGTGCCAATCCTTAATGAATATGCAAAGATGCCTCTTAAGGTTAGCTTTAAATGTCTCAAAAAGTCACAGCATTATATATATGTATTATTCTTATAAATATTTTCTTATATGGCAATATTGCATTTTTTCTGTAATTTCCTCAGCTTTTGACCAATCACTATGAGCGCTGTTGGAAGTATTACTGTTTGCCTAATGGATGGGCTAACTTTGGGGTGACCTCAGAGGAGGAGCTACATCTCTCCCGAAAACTGTTCTGGGGAATCTTTGAATCTTTGGCACATAAGGTGGAAGATTAATTTGAACAAATAAAGTAATGTGAAAGTTAATCAGCGCTTGTCTTGTGTTAAACTTTTTTTGTTATGACAACTCTAGAAATTTGATGCTGAGCTCTTCAAGATTGCCATGCCCTGCCTCTGTGCCATTGCTGGAGCCATCCCTCCTGACTATGTTGATGCCACCTACTCGTCCCACACTGAGAAGAAGGCCTCTGTGGATGCTGAAGGCAACTTTGATCCTAAACCTGTGGAGACCACCAAGTGAGTGTTGAGATCTTTATTTTCTTACATGATATTATTGCTCTGTTTTCAGTAACTGCAGCTCTCATAGTTTTAATTCCTATCCTCGTCTTTACATTTTTTTAGCACTATCATCCCTGAGCGACTTGATGGTTTTATCAACAAATATGCAGAGCATACTCATGACAGATGGGCTTTTGAAAAGGTCAGCAGCTAACTACAGTATAATGGGCTCTTTTCACTGTATATGCACTTAATTATAAACAAAATTATTTCAGATCCAAAACAACTGGACCTATGGTGAAGTGTTGGATGAGAATGCCAAAACGCATCCAATGCTCCGGCCATACAAAACCTTCTCTGAAAAGGTAATTTTGCATTAACATTTGTATTTGTTTTAAACTTCTGATTCCATATGTTAATGAGGTTGCCCCTTTCTGTTCTTTAGGATAAGGAGATTTATCGATGGCCCATAAAGGAATCCATTAAAGCAATGTTAGCATGGGAATGGACCTTGGAAAAAGCCAGAGATGGGGAGGGAGAAGTTGAAAAGAAATCTGCCACCACACGCAAAATCTCCCAAACTGCCCAGGTATTAAAACTGTGTTTCATGCATGATGCTTTTGGTAAAAGCTAAATGACTCACAGTGAATTAACAATAATGAATCCACAAATTTTTTTCAGGCCACATATGATCCAAGTCATGGTTACAACCCTCAACCAATTGACATCACAGCAATGGCTTTGTCTCGAGAACTCCAGGTATCCTTTTATAGCTGCAAAATAATTATTATTTCTACTCAGTATACCACATACATATATTCTCCTTTCTGTAGTCCATGGCTGAGCAGTTAGCTGAGAACTATCACAACACGTGGGGCAGGAAGAAGAAACTAGAACTTCAGGCCAAAGGTAAAATAAATTAGATGTTATTTTCCCTTGATGTCTCGTTATTAGGTTTATAGTTTTCTTGCATTATTGAAATATGTTTCTGAATTTCTGAAATGAGTATTACAATTGTAGGTGGTGGCACCCATCCTTTACTTGTGCCTTATGACACCCTGACGGCCAAGGAGAAGGCCAGGGACAGAGAGAAGGCCCAGGATCTGCTCAAGTTCCTACAACTCAATGGATATGCTGTCACAAGGTAAATAGGCCTTTATTTGTTTATGGCACTGTTAATTGTAATTGCTTCTATCTATGAAACCAGAGGGCTGAAGGACATGGAGCAGGACATTTCATCCATTGAGAAGCGTTTCGCTTATGGCTTCCTTCAAAAACTTCTTAAATGGATGGACATTGCACAAGAGTTCATCGCTCATCTTGGTAATTAAATTTGATGAAACTATAAAATTTCTACAGTTCAGTCTATGCTTATATATTGTGATTGTCGTTCCTTCAAACAGAGGCTGTAGTTAGCAGTGGAAGAGTGGAGAAATCACCCCACGAACAAGAGATCAAGTTTTTTGCCAAGGTAAATTGTAGACAAGATTTATGATTTTATATTGTACAATATACTATATTATTGAAATCGCTGCTAAAAGTGGCTATCGATTTATAATGTGCAATTGTGTATTGTTTTTATAGATCCTTTTACCACTTGTAAATCAGTATTTCAAGAACCACTGTCTCTACTTCCTGTCCACTCCTGCCAAAGTCCTGGGTAGTGGAGGCCATTCATCCAATAAGGAAAAAGAGATGATTGCCAGGTAATTTGAACAAATTAAATTACTTACACTTTTTACTTCTAAATCCTTTTATCCAATTACATTACCACCTTGTGTCTTTAATATAGTCTGTCTGCCCTCTCTGCCATTATTGTTAA